GTCTTTTGCAGTCAATGGGCATCTATAGCTTTTAATATCCTTCAGTTCAGTTCAGTCCCTCAGTTGTGTCCGACTTTTTGCGTCCCCATGGACTGTAGCACACCAGGCCTTCCTGTCCATAGCCGCTCCTGGAGTTTACTCAAGCTCATGTCCATTGACTTGGTGATCATCCAACTATCTCACCCTCTGATATCCCCTTCTCTTCCTGCCTTCAATCTTTCCCAGCATCAGGGTCTTTTCCAATGAGTCAGTTCTTCGTATCAGGTGGCCAAAGTATTGGAGTTTCAACTTCAGCATCAATCCTTCCAATGACTATTCAGGACTGATTTCCTTTAGGATGGACTGGTTGGGTCTGTTTGCAGTCCAGAGGACTTTCAAGAGTGTTCTCCAACACCACAGTTCAAAAGCATCAATTCTTCAGCACTCAGCTTTCTTTATAGTCCAACTCTCACATCCACATATGACTACTGGAAAAACCATAGCCTTGACTAGACAGACCTTTGTTAGCAAAGTATTATCTCTGCTTTTTAATATGCTGTCTAGGTTGGTCATAGCTTTTCTTCCAAGGAGCAAGCGTCTTTTTCTTTCATGGCTGTGGTCACCATCTGCAGTCATTTTGGAGCCCAGAAAAATAAAGTCTGCCACTGTTTCTACTGTTTTCCCATCTATTTGCCATGAAAGGACCAGATGCCATGATCTTAGTTTTCTGAATGTTGAGTTTTAAGCCAATTTTTCACTCTCCTCTTTCACTTTCAAGAGGTTCTTTAGTTTTTCTTTGTTTTCTGCCATAAGGGTGGTGTCATCTGCATATCTGAGGTTACTGATATTTCTTCCGGCAATCTTGATTGCCAGTTTGTGCTTCACACAGCCCAGTGTTTCTTATGATGTATTCTGCATATAAGTTAAATAATCAGGGTGACAATATACAAACCTTGACATACTCTTTTCCTGATTTGGAACCAGTCTGTTGTTCCATGTTCAGTTCTAACTGTTGCTTCCTGACCTGCATACAAATTTCTCAGGAGGCAGGTCAGGTGGTCTGGTATTCCCATCTCTTTAAGAGTTTTCCAAAGTTTGTTGTGGTCCACATAGTCAAAGCCTTTGTCATAGTCAATCAAGCAGAAGTAGATATTTTTTCTGGAACTCTCTTGCTTTTTCAGTGATCCAATGGATGTTGGTAATCTGATCTCTGGTTCCTCTGCCTTTTCTAAATCCAGATTGAATATCTGGAAGTTCTCGGTTCATGTACTGTTGAAACCTGGCTTGGTGAATTTTGAGCATTATTTTACTAGCGTGTGAGATGAGTGCAATTGTGCTGTAGTTTGAGCATTCTTTGCCATGCCTTTCTTTGGGATGGGAATGAAAGCTGACCTTTTCCAGTCCTGTGGTCACTGCTGAGTTTTCTAAATTTGCTGGCATATTGAGCATAGCACTTTCACAGCATCATCTTTTAGGATTTGAAATAGCTCAACTGCAAATAGCATTTACTATCCTTAATATTATCAAATAGTATTTAATATCAAATAACATTTGATATAGCTTTTAATATAAATAACATTTAATGTTCTTAAATGCTAAAAGTAATAATTCTAGAATTTAAATTTATTGACTGTCTCACCCATGTCAAATGCATTGACTTATTAGATTCAGTCCTTATTTCATGACATATACAAAATTTAACTCAAATTAGGTCTAGACTTAAACAGAAAAGCTAAAAATTTAACACTTCTAGAAGATATGGAGGACAATCTTCATGACCTTGGGATAAACAGTGTTTCATAGCTATGACACAAAGCATTACTTTTAAAAGTAAAAAAAGGGTTAAATGTATGTGATCAAATTTAAAACTACTCCTCTAGACAAGATATCATTAAGAAAATGTGTAGGCTAAGTTTATTCCCAGGTATTTTATTCTTTTTGAATCTATTTTTAACAGAACTGTTTTCTTGCTTTCCCTTTCTTACTGTTCATTATTAGTGTATAGAAGAACAACAGATTTATGTGTATATACTTGTATCCTACAGGCTTACTTAATTCATTTATTAGTTTTAATGGCTCTTTGAGAGAGATTTTAGAGTTTTCTGTATATAGTATCATGTCATTTGCAAATAGTGACAGTTTTACTCCTTCCTTTCCAATTTGGATGCTTTTAATTTCTTTTTCTTGTCTGAATGCTATTGCTAGGCCTTTCAATACTATGTGAAAACAAAGAGATGAAAGGTCTATACTCTGAACACTGTAAAACATTGACAAAGGATGTTGAGGATAATACAAAGAAATGGAAAGATGTCCCATGTTCATGAATTTAGAGTATTGCTAAAATGTCCATACTACCCAAATCTATATACTGGTTTAATGCAATCAAAATACCTATGACATCCTTCACAGAACCAGAACAAATATTTCTGAAATTTCTATGGAACCATGAAATACTGTGAACAGCTAAAGTGATCTTGATGGGAAAAGAACAATGATGAAGATATTACGCTTCCTGATTTCAGCCTATAATATAGAGCAACAGTAATCTAAACAGTCTGTTACTGACACAAAAACAGACACAAAGATCATTGGAACACAATAGGGAGCTCAGAAATTGACCCATATACATATAGTTAATTGATCCATGAATAGAAGGCAAAAGTATACAATGAGGAAAAGATAGTATTTTCTGTAAATGGTGCTGGGAAAATTGAACAGCTACTTGTAAATTAATGACATTAGAACCTTTTCTTATACCATATACAAAAATAAACTTGAAATGAATCAAAGGCCCCAATTTAAGGCTAGAAACAATATTTTCTAGAAGAAAACACTGACAGTACGTTGTTTGACGTAAGTCTTAGCAATATTTTTTTGGAGTTTGTCTCCTCAGGCAAGAGAAAGTATTTGCAGTAAATATGACTGATGAAGGATTTTTTCTCTAAAATATAAAAATAGCTATTACAATTAAGTAAGAAGAAGACAGACAAATCAACACAAAAACAAGCAAGACTTGAATAGACAGTTCAATATAGTACTTGTAAGAAAGGGCAATGTTATGGACTGAATGTTTGTAGTTGCTCCAAACTTTGTACTTTGAAGTCCTAATGCTCAATGTGATGGTTGTTGGAAATGAAAAATTGGGGAGGTAATATGGTGAGTGAGGTCATGAGGGCAAGATTCTAGTCTGAAGAGGTCAGTGCCTTTATCAGAAGACATGTTAGAGAACATCCTGTCTCTCTCCCTCTCCCACTCCTGGTCCCCTCCACTGTAAGAACACCATGAGAAGTCGGCTGTTTGCAAGCCAAGAAAAGAGTCCTCACCAGAACCCAACCAGGCTGGCACCTTTATCTCAGACTTTCAGCCTCCAGAATAGTGAGAAATAAAGTATTTGTTGTTTAAGTCACCCAATCCATGGTTTTGTTATGACAACTTGAGCTGAGTAATAAGTCACTGAACCCACGAAAAGATGTTCAGCATTATTAGTCATGAAGCAAATGTGAATTAAAAACATTATTTATTACTACATACCCACTAGAATGATAAAGTTTAAAGTATTGACAATCCCAACTGTTGTCAAGACTATGGAGAAACTGGATATTTCATACATTGTTGATGTGAGTATGCATTTGACAACCGCTTAGGAAAACAGTTTAACCATTTCTTATCAAGTTAAACATCTATTCTATAAACTTGAAATTTGTCTCATGGATATTTCTACAAGAAAAATAAAAATTTATGTCCACAAAAGATTTTTACATGCTTATGGCAATTTTATTTGTAATAGTCAAATGCTGGAGACAAGCCAGAAGAATGGATAAATAAATTGTGGTATCTTTGAACAATGGAATATGTTAGGCTTTGAACAATGGAATACAACTCAGCAAAAAAATAAAATAAAATTCTGATATATGCACAACATGGATAAATACTGAGCAAAGTGTGCCAGACAGAAAATAACACGTCCTATAGATTTCATTTAATCGAATTTTTTGAGTTGGTACAAGTAATCTACAATGATAGACATCAGATCAGTATTTGTTTGGGTCAGGAGTAGACTGCCTACACAGGAGCATGAGGGGATTTTCCAGGTGATGGACATGTTTTAGAGCTTGATTGGGGTGGATTGTTACACAAATGTATTACATTTATCAAAATTTAAATTTACTCTAGACTTAAGATATATGCAATTTATTTAGTTTATATAAATTGCCCTTCAGTAAGGCTGATCAAACAAAAACAAAGTCTGTATTATGGGTATTTGTTATATTATTCTTTGTATTTTTCTATATTTTTTTTGAACTTAATAAGGAAAAGTATTTATTTGTACCTTGCACAATTTTTGAAAGCCATTATTGCTATTCAATTTTTGGTATTTACTACAGTACTGGGTGCAAAGCTAACAAAAGAAAAGCTTACTGAATAAACGAATTACAGGATGAATGAACCAATAGTCAGTGATTTCTCGAGAGCTCAAATGCCATTACAGTGACCCTTCTAGGCAGCCCCAGAGGGGTTCAGTGCAAGTCACAAACATGCTTGATCTGCTGCAAAGTACATCCATTTTTAAGAATGTAATGTTTACAGGGGGCAAAACTTGGAGCTCACCATCGCAAACTATCATATGCCAGCCTACACTAATAAGGTAGGTATCAAAAACTCGAACTGATCAGTGTTTAATTAACCAAAGGTTCCTTCTAGGTCCCTCAAAAGAAAAAAATGTGTGTGATGAGTATGTGGAACACTCATTTTTAGATGAATGAAAAGACAGAAATCACAATCAGTACAAACTAATAACTAAACAATAGTGGAATAACAAAATGTAAATTTGACTGTTTTGGCACAGAGTAGTCCAAATGGTTTGCTCATATTTTTTTTTTTTTTTGGTCTGCTCATATTTTTAAAAATCAGAACTGAAATATATGAGTCTTATAAAAGAACAGATAAAGTCGTTCTTGTAAAACAGTCCAGGGTATCGTAAAGTTCTGATCCCTGCGTTCCACTGATCAGGCCTTGTGGCCTCAGGAGAGCAGTCGGGTAGACTTGAAATAGTCCTCGCTGGAGGGCCCTCCACTTGACAGTTCACTCCACATCCTGGCACAAGTGGTCACTGCGGGACTTGATGACGTGCTCTCTCCTTTTTCCTCTGGTGTTGTTTCCCAGACTGGCTTCTTGATGTGTTCTGGTAACTGTTCTAATCTTGTCTTTGTAACTTTCATGGCAACTCCTTCAGGTAAGTTTCGCTGAATATATTCCAAGTAGACATCTGCTGTACTTCCAGTGAGATGTTCTAACTCTAAACATCTGTAAAGTGTTCTCATTTCATACTGAACTCTGTGCTTCTTAAAAATATGCACTGATTTGAGAAGAGTAAATCGCTCAATTTTCCTTGGAGCTTCATGTACTTTAATAGAGATACCAAGTTCTTTAGCAGCAAGCACTGCAAAATATTTGTAACTGTCCAATACAGCCTTATCATGGCCTTTTACTAAAACTGATAGGCGCTTATATAATGTGTCCGGTTCATCAGAAATAGTTATCGTAGGCTTGGTCAAATCCTTGGGAACATCAACGTGTAGGTTTGAAAACTGTACCCACTTCATACTGGTGCTGAGAGGAAAGCCATCGTTTTTGGCTATACTGCTCCTAGAGCTGCTTACAGAAAAATTCCTTGAACCCTGCCAGAGACGCCGGCCCAGGGCCCCAAACACTGCTCGCGCCGCCATCTTGCCGTTCCCTCTCCTCTATATTTTTTAACAAGAATAAGTTTTCTACCAAAAGGTGACCGAATGGAAAATTCCGAGGCTACTGCCATGTACATTTTTTACTTGTAGTTCAGTTGCCCAGTTGTGTCTGACTCTTTGTAGCCCCATGGACCGCAGGACACCAGTCCTCCTTGTCCCTCACCATTTCCTGGAGTTTGCCCAAGTTCATATTCATTGCACTAGTGATGCCATACAGCCATCTCATCCTCTGATGCCCTCTTCTCCTTCTGCCCTCAGTCTTTCCCAGCATCAGGGACTTTTCCAATGAGTTGTCTGTTCGTATCAGTTGACAGGATACTGAAGGTTCAGTATAACATTTCTTATTATTTATATTCTATCTCCATTCCTGTTGCTTTAGGAAATTATTGTGTTTAAGGGAAGCTAATACACAATTCATTCCTTTTTTAGGACATTTATTTCTTTATTTAGGTATCTTTGAGCACTTTAGTCTTTTTATTAAATTGTAGTATGATTGCTTCACAACGTTGTGCCAGTTTTTGCTGCACAACAATGTGAATCAGCTATACATATACACATACATATACACACACACATACACACACATACATATAAACACACACACATACATACACATACATATACACACATATACATATATACACACACATACATATACACATACACACACATATACACATACAAATACACGTGCACACACATATACACACATGCACACATACATGCACACACATGCATATACATATATACACACATACATATACACACATATACATATACACATACACACATATATGCACACATATACATACACACATATACATATACACATACATATACACATACACACATATGCACACATATACATATACACATGCACACATATACATACACACATATACACATACACATACACATGCATGTATACCCCTCCCTCTTGAACATCTGTCCTGCGACCACCCCCACCCCTCTCCTCTGGGTAACCACAGAGCACTGAGCTGAGCTCCCCGTGCTGTGTAACAGCGTCCCAGTAGCTATCTATTTTACACTCGGTAGTGTGTATATGTATACACAATCCTACTCTCCCAATTCATCCCACCCTCTCCTCCCCACAAATTCATTCTTGTACAGTTTTGTACCCTGGACAAAATTCATTCTTCATAAAGAATTTCTTGACAATTCTTTAAATCATTCATTGCCTTTGAATTTGGATGCATCATAGACTTCTTTATTGTTTGGTTATATGGAGCTTTTTGACTTGCAGATTTCATGGATTTATATAGTTGTAGATTGTCTGAGAAATTTCCCTGAGATGCATCTAAAAACACACAAAAGTTGTATGTGTGCACTTTGGGATAATTTCTTTCCTTCTTCCCTTGAAAAAGATATTTAAAATGTTTAATTAGGTCCTGGCATGAATTCTCATTAATACCATACTCAAGGGGAAACCATCTATGGGGTCGCATAGAGTCAGACACTACTTAAGCGACTTAGCAGCAGCAGCAGCAGCAGCAGCAAGGGGAAACATGGCTGGGATTGACAGTTTTCTTATCCAGCTTAAATTACAGGACTCAGGTTTTCTTCCATCAAAGATAGAACATGGGAATCTCTTCCCTTTGCACTCATCGATCTTAGATTCCCAGATAAGTTCATTTTGTGTTTTGGTGCAAAGTTCTCAACTCTAAGTGAGAAGGTCAATCTTATCTGGATCAAATTTGTAATGAAAGTTAGAATGAGAAAGTCATGTCATTTATTTTAGAGTAGGTGGTGGTAAGAATTGTTTCTCCTTCTGCATGAGAACCTTACTTGTCCCATTCACTGTGGTATCCCTAGCACCTAGAAGCATGTTTAATAAATGTGAATTTTACCAGTAAGGAAATAGATGCTCAGAAAGATTTAAGAGAGTTGCTTAAATTTACACACTTAGGCTTGCCAAATGGCACCGTGGTAAAGAATCTGCCTGCCGACGCAGGAGACACAGGAGACATGAGTTTGATCTCTGGGTCAGGAAGATTCCCTGGAGTAGGAAATGCCAACCCACTCCAGTGCTCTTGCCTAGAAAATTCCATGGACAGAGGAGCCTGGCAGGCTCCAACCCGTGAGGTTTCTAAGAGTCTGATATGACTGAGCAACTGAGCACACATACAGTGATCCAGCAAGTCCACTTCTGTGTATACACCCAAGAGAATTAGAAACAGAGTCTCAGAGAGATGCATGTACACCCGTGGTAATAGCACCATTATTCACAAAAGCCAAAGCTGTCTATTATAAGAGCAGCCCAAGTGTCCGTCAGCGGGAGAATGTATAAACAAAATATGGTATAGACAGGCAAAGCAATATTATTCATCATTAAAAAGGAAGGAAATTCTGACATAGGCTACAACTTCAATAAATATCCTGCTAAGTAAAATAAGGCAATCAAAAAAGAGTAGATATTGTATGATTCCACTTATATGCAATACCTAGAGTAGTCTATTTTCCCTAGACGGAAAATAGAAGAGAATGGTGGTTGTTAGGGGCTGGAGGGAGGAAGGAAGGAATGGGGAGTTGCAGTTTAGTGGGTGTAGAGTTTTAGTTTTGCAAGATGAAAAGAGTTCTGGGGGTGGATGGTGGTGATGTTTGTACAACACAATGTAAATGTAATTAATACTACTGAACAGACTCACAGGAAACAAACTTACAGTTCCCAAAGGGGAATGGGTGGGAGGGGTAAATTAGGAGTTTAGGTTAACGTATACACACTGCTGTATATAAAATAGGTAACCAACAAGGACCTGCTGTGTCGCACAAGAAGCTATATTCAATAGCTTGTAATAAGCCATAATGGCCAGTGATTTAAAAAAACACATATATACATACACATGTACATATAACTAGGTCATTCTGTCATATACCTGAAACTAACATAATATTGTAAATCAACTCTACATTAATAATAAAAAAATACTCAATTGTACGCTTAAAATGGTTATGGTAAATTTTGTTATATTACGTGTTTCACCACAAATGAAAAGTCACACAGCTAAAACAAGACAGATTGATAGACCCTAAACCCAGGTTTCATTGATTCCAAATTCACAATGATTTTCTTTATAGTCATCTGCCATTTTGGGTGCCGTTCAGCAAGTTTCGCCCTAGCTGATTTGATATGAAGAAAAGCATGAATTTGAAGGTTTAATACCATGACTTCAAAGCTGTGTGGATGGCTCTGCCACTCATCCAAAGGAGCTTTCCTAACTTGTTGATGTCACCTGACATTTCACCATTTTAGTGATACTCGGCCTCAGTCTCAGGCTGGACTCTCCAGGGGAGATTCATTGGAGTCTCCAGGGGAGATTTAAAAAGTCTTGATGCCTGGCTTCTGCCTCCCATGTATTCTGATGTTATCAGATAAGAGTGTGGCCTGAGCATCAGAACTCTAAAAGCTCCAGGTCCTGATGCAGCAAAGGTTGAGAAGGACCGCTGTTACCAGACATGATGTCTTGCTTCCTTGTAGGATTGAGTCCCCCTGTACCGCAGGATTCTGAATGTTTCTCAGATGCTGAGTACTTGAGCCAAAATGTAGGCTTGGGTGTCTTAGCCTCAGCTCTGGAGGAAAGTTTATCAGATTCTTTCCTGAACTTTGAGAGGAAGAAGTCCCCAAATGAGCATGGCATGGTTCCTCACTCACAGAATTATTTGAGGAATGGATGAGATAATTCTTCCAAAACACAATACTCAGCAAAGCCTGAAAATGCCACCAGTTTTACCACAGTGTGACATATATTGTTCTGAGTTTCTAAAGGTCAAGAGTGGGAGGGAGAGAGGAAGAGATAATGTTGAAGAGAGGGATGTGTGTGTGTGTGTGTGTGTGTGTGTGTGTGTGTGAAAATGGAGAAAATAGAGCAAGAGAGAATGGTCAAACTACCAAAAAAAGATGGGAACTGGGGACAATTTTTTTTACTTCCTAAGCATAACACTTAAAATCCCTGCAGATGGTGATTGCAGCCATGAAATTAAAAGACACTTTCTTTTTGGAAGAAAAGCTATGACAAACCTAGACAGCATATAAAAAAGCAGAGACATTACTTTGCCAACAAGGGAAGTTCTCCCATGGGCTGTAGCCTACCAGGTTCCTCCATCCATGGAATTTGCCAGGCAAGAGTACTGGAGTGGGTTGCCATTCCCTTTCTCAGGGGTCTTCCTGACCCAGGGATCAAACCTGGGTCTCCCGCATCGCAGGCAGATGTTTTACCATCTGAGCCACCAGGGAAGCCATATAGGTCTGTCTAATTGGACCTATGGTTTTTCCAGTAGTCATGTATGGATGTGAGAGTTGGACTGTAAAGAAAGCTCAGTGCCGGAGAATTGATGATTTTGAACTATGGTGTTGGAGAAGACTCTTTTGGACTGCAAGGAGGTCAAACCAGCCCATCCTAAAGGAAATCAGTCCTGAATATTCATTTGAAGGACTAACGCTGAAGCTGAAGCTCCAATACTTTGGCCACCTGATATGAAGAACTGACTTGTTGGAAAAGAGCCTGATACTGGGAAAGCTTGAAGGCGGGAGGAGAAGGGGACAACAGAGGATGAGATGGTTGGATAGCATTACCGACTTGATGGACATGAGTTTGAGCAAGCTCTGGGAGTTGGTGATGGACAGGGAGGCCTGGTGTGCTGCAGTCCATGGGTTGCAAAGAGTCAGACATGACTGAGCGACTGAACTGAACTGAAGCTTAACACCAGATGGAAATAGAAGAGACCAAAGAGCAGAGATTTCAAGCATCCTCAGAAGGGAGAGGGCTCTTCCACCCAGGGATGATGAGAACCTTGGCAGAAGACATGGAGAGAAGAAAAAAGAACAAGCCTTGGATTCAACCAGGAGGAAAGAAACTTCAGAGAAAAGACTTTGAGGCTAGTACTTTCAGTATTTATTTATTTATGCTCCTACATGAAAAGTTAAATTTGGAGGAAAAGCATGTTTGAGTGTATATTCTTAATCA